AAGTAAGAATAGGGATGGTAGATTTTTTTTGGGGGGGGAGTGGGTTTTTTTGTTTGATTTTTTTTTTGAGAGGTTTTGTTTGTTTGTTTGTTTCTTCACCTGCGTGTAGACACCCCGAGATCCCAAGGCTTTCCAGGCTGATCTTACTCCTCTTGTTTTGTTGCTGGTGATGGTGGTTGGTAAACAGCTCCATCCTTAGGCAGGGCCCTGGGGAGCTGCGGCTGCCCCGGCCCAGCTCCCCCAGGACACTTGCTGGAGGGGAGGATAAACAAGACAGCAATACATTTTATTTCCACTTACAACCTGTTAGAGTGCAGTTAATTTTTGTTAAGGACACATCTAGTTTGGGGCTTTGCATTTTCCCAAAAGGCTGTATTGTTTTTAACAGAGTCATGTATCAGCAAGCTGGGTAGTCTGTATGAAGAAGGCACGTATTTTTTAATATGTAAATAGGAAAGGATGGTGTTTCATCTTTATTCCAATGTACCCAGGGTGGCAATAACGCTTTTTAAATCCCTGTGAAACAGACTGTATATGGCAAAATTAATGTCTCAACTCTCCAAGTATTTTCTCTAAAATATTTGAATTTTTGCATTTATTATGCCGCTTGTTTAAAATAGCGAACGATATCAGCCGTGCATTCAAAGCTTAATTGGTAGAACACAGATTTATTCTAATTTAAAACAGTCACTTAAAAACAGTTTTGTATATATGTATACATGGGCACAACTTTTCATACAGTTGTCTGTTTTGGAGCGGTCTCTTAGGCACTGATGTACAAGTTGAACCTGTTTTCTTTTGTGCAACATGGCTTTGAGAAATCATTAGTTAAAACAGTATTCTGTAGTTTCATTGCAGACAGTAAACAGCCTAATGTGAGTGATGCATAAGATGATTGAAGTTCTGCCTTTGATCAGGCTTTGAGATACATCGTGCCAAATACAGTCCCAAGGTGTATGCATATCTATGTATGTGTATATATGTATCTATATATAAAAAAATGTTGGTGAACGCTGCTTTAATGAAAATCTGGCCAAGTAACAAAATAACGTGTCCATCAGCCGTTGCCACTGCAGGATGGTGACAGAAGAGCAGCAGCAGAACCGCAGCCGTGTGCTCATCCGTGTCACCCACCCCAGGCAGGGTGTGGAGAGGCTTTGGGTCGTTTTCCTCTTTTTGCAATCACATTTGTCATTTGTCTTTATTTCCTCAGCCCCCTTCTGTCTCGTCCTGTTCCTTGCCTTCATTTCGATAAGGACTTTCCCTCTGCCACCCATTTTCTCCTCAAAACTGGGCTCTCTTTTGATGCCACACCTCCTGGTAGCAGCGGGGTGTTCTGCAGCTCACTGGGATGGCTTGAGGGGGAGTCGGGCGTGGGTACCCCGTGCCAGATCCATGTACCAATCCACGACTCGCTCCGGTGGAGCGCGGGAATTTCAGATCCTTTCTTGGTTTGCAGCCGCTTGCCTTTTTCTCCCAGCGAACCCTTTCTCGTTCCCCTGAACACACGGGTGTGGATCTGCAACCCGCCGGGTTTGTCCGGCCCGTTGCTGAATGCTCTTCGCCTGGGGGCCGTTTCCAGCCTGTGCCACCCAAGCACTGCTGGATGCGAGGCACTGTGCTGTTCCTTAGGTCACAGCAGAAACTCTTGACTTGCATCAAGTGCTGCAGCCAGTTTTGCAGTATGAAACGATGCTCTCGGCTGCTTCGGAAGCCCTGGGAGCAGCCAGACCCCGGGGTGGAGATGCGCGAAGAGAGCAGGAAGCGTCGGGGAAAGGTGAGGGGGGCAGGGCTGGCCCCACGCTGGTGAGATGGAGTCCGTAGTGGTCCGCCAGATCATCTCAGCTGTGCACCCCTGCCTTTGAGATTTAAACAGTGAAATATTAAAACTTGTCTTTCAAATCTGTTTAATATTACAAAGATTAATTTTTGTTGGGGGCAGATTAATAGGTTTCCTATTCTGATTAATACAGTGATAATAAAAACATTGTGATTGCTAGAATTAATGAAGCCCAGATTCCTGTTTCAAGGTTTGATTGACTTTGCACTTCAGTTATGCTAAAGCTCCTGCATCTCATTGCCCCTTCTTATTTAGCTGTAGCCTTCGGAGAAGCTGAGTGGGAGCAGGGCAGTGCGGGAGAAGGTCTGTATTGGAGGTCGCATCAAGGAATCCATTGGGGGAGAAGTTTTGTCAAAGGGTGCTCAAGAGTACACAGATGATGTCCACCTGAAAATGTGCCTACAGGGTCTCTGTTGCCCTCTGTATAGGAAGATCATAGCAAATGTCACTAGTGAAATCTAGCGCGGGGAGAATGAAGGTCTGCCCGTGGCAGCAGCAGCTCATGTTGCTCATGTTGCAGCGTTATTAGAGTTTCTCCGTCTTTAACCCAGCAGGCTATTTTTGTGAAAGTTGTAGAAGAGGAGTGTCCAACTCAAATGTGTGGGCGCATCATTAAAAGCTTCAATTTGTCAATGCCAGATCGAACTCAAGTGCGTGGGTAGATCATTAAAGGCTTCAGTTTATCAGAACCGATCTATTATCTGTTCCTCTCCCTCCTCCACCCTTCCCCTCAGCACTACATGTGGTTTCCCCCGGCTCTTCGGCGCTGAGGTCCGTGGAAGTGCCTGAGCTGCCTCCGGGCCACACTGGGCTCCCTCCTGGCACAGCCCAGCCTGGAGCTGGCGACGTGCCGGTGAGCCAGCTGGTGTGGGAGACGGCTGATCGAATGGTTCCGGAGTCCTCCAGCGGTGCAAGCCCCACGCTTTATGCCGTGAGAATCCCTGTCTTTGGGAGCTCGCTGCTCCTGTTAATCCCAAGGGATTCAAAAGGTGCAGGTGGGGCTGGGCACCGAAAGTACATGGTGATCACGTAAGCCTTGTTCCCTTGGGAAACCCGGCTGAAGAAATGTTTTGTGGAGTAATTTGGCGAGGTCAGTTTTTGATGGTGTAAGAAGCATCCCATTTTTCCAGGTACATCGTCAGAGTTCAGGCTAGTCTGGGATGAGATGTCTTTACCTAATCCTAACACTGTTTCTTGTTCCTTGTGTAGAAGGTCTCCCAGTTTTCAAATCAGCTTATTGGCACAAAGATGCCAAGATATTCCTCGTGCTCGAGTAGGGATGTGAAGGAGAAGAGTGATCGGGCGGTGAGGACAGTGCTTCCGTACACCATAGCCCTCATCTGCTACAGACCAAATATATTATTTAGACAAGTCATTTTGCCTCAGAAGTCTCAAAAGAACGTGAAATCTTTTGAGCAAGCATTAGCCAGAATGAGCCCCAATTCCTCATCTTCTGAATGGGGCTAATGACACTTGCCTGCTCTGCAGACATATCATGGATAAAGATTACTAAGCAATTGAATACTGTGGTACAGCAAGTCATCTGGAGAAATCTTGCCCCAACATGTGTAGATGCAGCTTTCTGCTCAGCTACATACCCATCTGCATATCTGTCATCAAGCTCAGCAATAAAGCAAACCTTGGATGTGTGTTTCTGACACTGCTCAGTTGCTTCTCTCAAGTGCTCTGCTCCTCATGAATAAAATACAACTGATGCAAAATGCAGGTCACTTTTGGTTTGGAGGTATTTCAGAGTCTCTGTGAAAGAAGTCACGTTTAGCATAAGTGCTGTTTAAAAACCCCTTTTGGATCTATTTTTATTGTGTAGCACAGTTTTATAATAGGGTCTCATAATCCCTATATTTAGATTTCTGAACTCTTGTGATCTTATTTGAGCTGTTGCGTTGCATTCAGCAAAGAATGGGAGAAAGCCCTAGGGCCAGAAAAGTACCTGTTTTTTGTCTTAGGAAATTTCATGCAGTTGTTGCTAAGACAGAAGCTCCCAGATGTTCCTCAGGAAGGCTGCAGTGGGCTGCCAAAATAATTAACTCCGCGAGGTTAATTTGGAGATGGCAGTTCCTGCCACTGCCAAGGCGCTGGTAGTTGTGGAAAGGCTGGGAACAGCCACTGCCTTGGGGATGCTACGGAGGGAGAGGACTGGGGAATGAAGAGGTCAGAAGCACCACACGTGATTTTTATTTTCATATTTTTTCCTAGCCAGGTCCTTCAGGACAGTTTCTTCTGTTGCAAAGTTTGTCTTGTCCTCTGGGGTCCAGGGAGCAGAGGCTCCCCGGGGCGTCGGTGCATCCGTTAAGGCAGCCGGTGCCCTTCCCCAGTTGGAGGGGCACTGGAGCTGCTGGTTAAATCCCATGAGGTTTCATGGGTGCGATGCAGAACAGCCCTGGGAACCCCTCTGTTCATATTTCTGAACATGAGCTTTTCCGCAGTGTGGATACTTTGTCAGTGAAGAAATTATACATCTTATTTTAAAATACCCTTATTAGTAAAATGGATGTTTCATTTGTGCAGCAAGCAGCTTCCTCTGAGCTAAGCTTAAACTCAATCTGTGTTACTAATAGCTGGGGAAAAAACCATACTAATTGGTATTTCTTAACTGATGTTTGCAAATGTTGCCTTTTCACCCTGAACATCAAATAGTTTTTATATGTGTTTTTCCTTATCTCAGAGGAAAGATTATTGCTAACAAGAGATTCTACATTTTGTTAAGGTTTTATCAGGATCCAGTGAGTGAAGGCAGAGAGTAAATATTTCAGAAATTCGGAGACTGTTACAGTTTGATAATGCAAAGTAGGTTAAGGTATCTGGATTTTGTGCACAGTGCAGTGTTTTTGAGCAGAATATGGATTTGGATGGTGACACATTTTGGTATTTAAAAGAAATATAAGCTTGCCTGTCAGAGGAGCACGTTGGAAATGTGAAATAAATGTGTCTTTAAAAACATTTCTTATTAGTGTAAGTTTCAGTTTTATTTAAAGCGAAATAAAGTCTGCTGTGTGATAATGTTTGATACGTAGAAATACGCCTGTAATGCTTCCCCCACCTCCAGCGTTTATAACCACCTTTTATTTTCAAAGGAAAACGGTAGGCTTTGATACGATTCTAACTGAGTGAAGTTTTAAAACATGTTTTTGTCTTTCAGTCTCCTGAGAACATTTTTTCTGAGTGACTCCGGCTTCCAGACACATTTGCCATGATAAGGGTTTCGATCCTTTCCCATATTTGCCCTGAGTCATGAGTGGATATGTGTGATGCCTGCAAGTAAAACTGGTGAGTCGTCAAACCTGAGTTTGCAGTAACTTTCACTTACTCTTTCTTACAATCTCTTTTCCTCACCCTTTTCTCCTCATTTTAATATGGTGGGCCTTTGGGTTTCTTTTTTTTTTGTATTGTCTGTGCTTAAAAGCAAGTCACCGCTATTCTTTAAAAATAAAAAAAGACGACCTTCATTGTAATGAAATAGTAGTGATACAAATATTATCAATCCAGGAAAAATACTCCTTTCCTTCTTTTTTTCTCTCCATCCCCTCAAATCCTATGAGGTCTTCAGTGCTGAAACTGGAGTTTGGTGATGCAGGTGAAGCTACTGCCTGAAACTGAAACCCCGCAGCTAGTCAGGGTCTAAACGTGCTTATGTGGGCAATTCGTGTCAGGATTAAATATGAATATGGAGAGGTCTCCCTGTCGTGTGTCGCACGGTGGACTCTCCGAGGACCCACCGCCAACGAAGAGTCAGCTCCACCGTCCGCTGCACTCGCACCCCAGTGACAAAGTGGTGTCACTGGTACGCGGGAGAGCTGTCCCGTCGCGTGCGCTTGCCCCGTTCAGCGTGGTGCTGGGGCCCAGCCCGGAGGAAAAGCGGGGACAAAGCCTTTGGCAGCCAGTCCTGGCCACGGTGCGCTCGGTCAAGCTTGAGAGGGTCGTGTGGGGCCACCCCTTCTCTGTTCATTGGCAGTTGCCACTTCCCCGTGGCGGTAGCCAGCCGAGAAGCCCGTTGATCCCTTTTTGTGCCAGGCGAGTGGCAGTTGTGCCTTCCCCGGCTGTCCCCGTCCCAGCAGCCGGGCGTGGGGAGCCTTCCCGTGCCCTCTCCTCTTCCCCGCCTGCTCCCGACTGCCCCATTTATTAACCAGAGCAAGAGGAGGCACGGTATTTCTTCATTAATCAGAAGACCAAGAGGTTGGGAAAACAGGATTCATCAGTTTTTGCAGGAAAATTGGAAAGTGTATGTAAGAAATCTTTCAAAACTAGGAAATCTGCATAATTAAATTGTGTAGGAAATGGGAACGCAAATTGTTTTTTAAAAGAAATTCAGGTTTCTATTATATATTTAATATCCCTCCATTTGTTAGAAAGTGCATTTCAATTCAAAGATTGTAAAACCCAAGAAATTCACACATCAGTGAATTGTGATTTTTTTTTTTTTTAAGTTTCCATTTTTTCTTTTTTTTCCAGAGGTAGCATAATTACCATGTCATTTAGCAAAGATTATAATAGCTGTTCAGTTTTTACCGACTGGTGTAGTAAACAGTTGAATAAACCCATATGGCAGCTCAAAGTGTGCACGCAGGAGAGAGATTCTTACCATTTCCTTCATGTCTAAATTACCAACCTCACTGATACGACTGAGATCCCCAAACAGGGACCAACTCCAGACTTTTCCAGTGATACAGAAATTTCTCATTGCTCTGTCAAATATGAATCAATTGATTTTTAATCATGGCGGTTAACTAATTAATTATTTCTTTGTGCCTATGAAGTATGCATGGAAAACTTGCGGTTATATGCAAGGCACATGCCTCTATTTAAAGCAGTCTGGGCATTTGCTTCATGCTTCTTTAATAACTGTAAATAATGCCTGGAGTCCAAATCTTACTATCCACATCACTATCAAAGATTGAGGCCCTTCTAAGGCTGGCCGAGGTTAAGCGTGACATCGCTGGGTGTTGTGACAGCCCCGTGGCACTGCCTGTAATGAGACTTTGTGTCTGGTCTCAGTGGTGGCAAATGGAAGGACTGGGGTGTTTTGAAGCATCCTCTGGAGATGCCAGGTTGAGTTACAGAGACACGGAGCTGTGGCCGACCAGCATCTGGGGTAGAGACAAAGTGTTTGAGTCGCATCCCCTCTGGATAGCTTCGGTATTAAAAAATAAAAGCAACAAAAAGGATTGTTAATTCTCTCCAAAATGCTGGCTTGAACAAAGGAAAAGATTCATTCTATTCCTCCTAAAATTCACTTACTCCCAGTTATCTTAAAATTTTCATGTCACATAATAGCTTTAAAATACCTTCTGAATGGATTAGACTCTCTAGGTGCTTAGAAAATATCGCAAAATAATAACATGAAATGACCAAGCATTGAGCAGTCCCACTGGAAAGGAGCAGTTGGCCAAAACTGATGCTTGTGTTCATCTTAACCCTGATGTACGACCGGCCCTCCACCATAATTCTATCAAGAGATGGTAAGTTGCCTAGCAATGTGCTGACTGCAGAGGGTACGTGTTGAGCTAATGCAGTTTTTGTTCTCATTTTCCTTGAGAGTTCAGCTTAAAGGAGTGATCCTTTCTCAGGCTGCAGCAAGAGCCACTTCTCGACGGTCTCTCTTGTTCCCCGCTCGAGTGTCCCTGGTGATGTCAGGAATTCATTCACCGCCGTACGCGTTTTAGAAGTTTCCAGCTTATTGAGTAACCAAATGTGGTTTCTGCTGATTGTGTTGGCTGAATACGTAGGGCCTTTCGAAGAGGCAAGGGTTTTATTTAAAGCACAGCGTTTAGTTGTATACCATTTTATGGCAGGCAAAGGTCATCTAGGGTAAGCAGCCAGAACAGTGAATTGCCTCATTGCAGCACCTAGGAAAATGAGACAGAAAGATACGGTGGAAGGTTTTAACAAATTGCTCATAGTTATAAATTTTTAAAGTCGAGGAACGGGGTGCTGTGTACGTTTTTAAATTGGAGATAACCATGCTTGTATGATAAATTTGAGTTAAGAACAGAACGAATCAAAATAATGGGGTTGGCACTAAAAGCCGGGTCGTGCAGCGAGTTGCCGGCGCAGCGTGCTGCCGGGGCTCACGTGGTGACCTGCTGTGTCCCTGCCGTGTCCCTGCCCGCCGGGGGCATTAACATCCAGCTTCACGGTGACCTTTTCTTACGTACATTTGTGGGACCAGGGGAGTGGGGACGAGCACCAGGAGCTGAGCCCCGCGTCCCCCGGCAGGGCTGCGCGGCGGGAGAGGTGGCAGCAGCCCCGCGATGGCACTTCTGTCCCCACAGGATCTCCCCTGCTCCTTAAAGCATCGGTGGCTGCAGAAAGACTTTGTTTTTTCTGAAACTTTTCTGTCTGTGGAACTTTCTCTGTGGCGGCGGGGGGGAGGAGAGAAGTAATTTTAACAATTTAATATACTACATAATATGTTTTATAAGCTGGTGTGAATGCTCCTAAGTATTTTGGTCTTTTTTCATAACACAATGAACCTAATATTGGTAAAAATACAGATCTTAGCTGCCACCATAAAGAGAGGCTAGATTTAATAAACAGTTATGAATGTTGGCAGCTGCCTATCAGATTGTATAACATCGGCTATAGCACATGAAGACAGTGTCAACTTACATTTTATCTCAGAAGTATTTTCAAAGCATTTATTTTGCTTTCTCTTGAGTCCTTAACCTAATTCAAGTTATATAATTGGCGGAATATTTTTCCACACCGCTAATTGGCTGGGAGCCAGCGTGGAAACCATTGTCTGACTTGATGATGATCAGGAATTAACATGACATTTGCGTGGTGGTAATGGAATACATTAGTAATGTAATTCATGACTGTAAGAAAGAGACCATCATCTCCCACCTCTGATCAGCAGGAGGGGCTGGGAGGATGATGAAATGCTCCCAGCAGGCACCTCACAGCAGTGGCTGGCCAATCTCGATGTCAAATTTAGTTTTAAATTCTTCAGACAAAGCTGTAATGCTTACCAATTAATTACTACAAATGTCAATTAAAAATCTACCAAATAATGCAGTAAGATTAAATTTCAATTAAAAAAATTACATTTAACAAGGAAGATACAACATTATTTTAATGAATTCTGCTGAAGGTGACAGTGTATCTAGATATATTTATACCGTGTAGGTGGATCTAAATTCATTGGATGATGTTAACCATGTTACTCGGTGTACATATTAGTTTTGAAAATTATTTCCACTTTGCCTATGTCCTGGAGGAGATGGGGCATCAAGGCGCATTTCTTGTCACCAGGAGAAAGGCGAATTTCAGACCTTCTAGGTACAAAAATCTTCTCACACCTAAAATGAGGGTGTTATTGTAGACTTTTGTCCTGGCCAAATTAGCGGTATTTTTCATTGCTTTATATTTATGAAACCAAATACAGAGTTTTTGTTGTGGTAGTAGAACAAGCCCTGACCTTGCTATGACTATAATGATTGCTTGGGACAATTTTTCAAGTAATCTGTTTTATCACACAAATAATATCCATTATTCTGATAAGTCACGTAACAGGAAAAGATTTTGCTGTGTGAAGGTGGTGAACTCTAAGTCCTGAGCAGAGCTTTTATCTGCACGGCTCAACCTGGCTTGATGGAGTTTTTGAGTGCATGATTAAAATCCCGTAGTTGATACTTCAGCTGCTTTTAAGATATATTTTGAGCTAGGAGCAGCACAGCAGAGGTGTCACGTGGCGTGATGGAGTTCTGAGTTTGCACGGATCACAAGCGTGTGTATGAGAAACTTATAAGACACCAGCACCTCTTGGGATGCAGAGCGTTAACAGTGCAACGTGGGTTTTGTAGCTGGAGTTTTGTATTGCAGTAACTGTTTTTCTTGCACAGGGCAGTTCTTACGCTGCAGGAGATGGAGATGCTGGTGCTCTGGGAAGGCGTGAGAGCCTGCACTCGCTGGCGTGGCGCCGGGGCAGAGCTGGGGCGTGCAAGCGGCTATCCTCCTGGCATTGAACCACTTGTGAGCCAAGGCCTTTAAATATGATCTGAAGAATACTTTCCTAGCTTCCTTGAAGTTTTTTCCATGAGCTTTTATTATGTTTTCACACCATCATGTCTAAAATAGGTAAGAGGGAAGACATAAATGAAGAAACAGATTTTATGTGTCAAGCCAGCACTGAGAAAAGTCCCTCTCAGGGACCAGAGACTCCTTTTCCTTGGCACTGCTGTGTCAGGAGCCACTGAATTTCAGCAGGTTTTAACTTAAAATGAAATATAAAAAAATACAGTGAGCACACAGAAAATTACAAAAGCCAA